CCTCTGACTCCTTCTACTCCACATTTATTGGTTTCCCTCGTGCTCTTCTTCTTCCCGATGCATTGGGTCCCTCGTCTGGAAGCCACACGACTACCACAACCACTAGATCTCTGTAAGCACCGCTGATATTCATTCTCCACATCCTGGGGGAAAACTTTTCACCATTCGCTTGAAGGTTCTTTGGCCAAAGTCCGTCGCCTTATGGCAAGGCAAAGTAAACGATTTTAGCTGTCTGAACGAGTGCGCACTGTACCTCCAACGCGCAGTGGCCACATTGTTCTGTTTCCAGAAGGGCGGCGCGGTGCCCAATGACACCAATTTGTGATGCAACTGACCGCGCACTTTGAGCGCTCTCGATGCCTCGACAGCTCGGCTGGCAATGGAGCCTGGACGCTCGGCTTGGCCAGGAACAGAGACTCGGCACGTCCGGCACCAACGGCGATCCTCGGGGCCATGCCAATCATGCTCAAGCTTCTCACTACACACACGACAAAGCCAGGCACGCCAAGTCAAGTCCTGATCGGACTCGCTGAATGCCTGACCTCCACGCAATCACGACTGTCAGCGGCGGCCCCGACAGAACCGACCCAGTGAGCAACGCGCTTCTAATGTATGCGATTTCAAGCGAGCCTTTCTCACCTCGGCCGGCACCCGCACGCGAGAAACATAATGCTTGGCCCACAGGCCAGCTCGGCTGTTTCCAAACCTGTCGCCCCTGGACACGGGCCCCGACTCGACAGCCTGGAGAGGAAGATGCGCTCTTATCTTTCGCATCACCGAGCCGCTGCCACCAAGACATTCCGAATCGCCCAGGAGCTCCCGAACAGTTTTCCACAAAGAGGCCCAAGCGCAGCAATGCAATGTGGCGCGCTTGCGACGATTCTCCTAAACACCGTCAACCACGAGATTGCTATCGCACGCGGCAATAATTGGTGGCACAGCTACTTTCAACAACTGGATGAGCGCAGGCAGCTCAGCACCGTCGATGTCCCGCGCAAGACCTGCGCAGAGCCCATGCACAAAATCCAGGGCTCCGAGCGGGTCCGACGTGAGCGCGGCGATGGCTTGGCCAACCACGGACCCCCCGACCCAACCTCCTGTCGTGCACCGACCCGTTCAGGTCGGCCTTGTCGGCCTGGATCGCGCGAAATCCTGAATGCTGCCGCCGCGCATCCTGTTGATTAGATGGTGGCCCCCAGATTTCAGGAACCGTAGTCGCCGCCCGCGCGCGTCTCTCGAGCAAGGGCCTAACATGCGGCGCGTCAATCTGATCTGTGAGAACCCGGAGCTTGGGGGGCAAGGCAACGAGATTCTGTCCGCTCTCTTTCAGAAGCAAAGACGGTGAATAAACGTGTCGGTACTTTCGCAGAGCAGACAGCTCCTATCGGCGACATAGCCAGCCTCAAACTCACGAGACATCGGCCGCTGCCCGTTCACTGCAGCAGAAAGCGCGCATCCGCGCTGACATAAATCAAAACGCTCTAGGCCCTTCGCACCAATGTGTCGAACATCTCCCTGTATTAGTCAGACACCAGCGGTTCCCAATCAGCGCCATGCGCCAAGTGACCAGAATAATCCCCTAGAGGGACGTAAACCCACTTCCACGCCCGAACCGCGCGTTTTAGGAGCTGAGGCACGCACCAGGGACGCACCACGTTGATCAAGTCACCCTCACGCGTCAGCCACTTGAACGGCTCCTCGAGAATCAAGCCCACGCGTTCCAGGGGTAACCTCGCGACCCCACAGGGCCCTTGGACTTGCGCCCACTGCTTGATATCGACGCATCCATTCACAGGGGCTTCCAGGATCTGACAGGGCACCCATGACTTCCACGGCGCACGCACGAAAACGGCGATCGGCAACAATGTGGCCCGAACCAGCGGATCCAACTTACCGTGACACATAAACGAGTGTTCGGCCCTTTCCCGACGCGCGGGGCTCGATGGCGGAGAGGGCCAGCGACCTGGCGGCCTCCAACTCCCCGCTGC